TGAATAAAAGTTTCGTCGTTTTCTTTGTTTGTTTTCTGTACACTAATACCTAAATCTAATGTAATTCTTTTCTATTTGTCTAGTCACTGGTCTCTCTCATTTCGAACTTTATGACTAGTATTAATCAATTTGTTTGTTAGAACTCATTTTATCCGCCATGAATGATTCCGAAAAGAGCAATGTTGGGCTGACGCTGCTGCGACGCAGCAGAGCGGTGCGTAAGCGTTAAATAACCATGCTACTCAAGAAGCTCGATGAGTCCCCTGAATCCGCGGTGAGTTCTGCTATCGGTTCTATTAAAGATCTGCTCTCCAATGTCAAATCTTACGATGATCAAATTAATGACCTTTTGGCTTCGCTTGGGGATTCTTCTGAATTTTCGAAAGAACTCGATAACGAACTAGAGAGTCAGAGTAGCTATTTCATTGAGGTAAACATCAAAATTGCCGCAATTGAAAAGTCTGTTCAAACTTGCAAACTAAAGGAAACCAATTTTGACCTTAAATTACCGAATCTCAGTTGCCCTGTCATCTCGGGGGAAGGTGCCAGCCATTTAGAATCCAGTGCTTTCATCATGCAATTTCGAAACTTCATTGGTCACCACATAACTCTTTCGCCCTCAGCTAAATTTACCTATTTGAAAACTTATTTGCGAGGCTATGCCCTCAATGTTCTGCAGCACTTGCAAGTTAATGACGAAAATTATGAAGTTGCTTTAAAATTACTAGAATCCAAATTTAGGAATCGGAAGGCCGTGACCGATGATCTATATAAAAAATTACTTTCATTGAAACCCAAACAAGATCCTACTTTTCTTGAAACTAAATTATTTTTGAATGAAGTGAGGTGTGTCTTGAGTGATTTGAAGCATTACAAGAGGGATTTGTTGAACAACGAGTCATCTGCTGAATTTATTAGCCATTTGGTTTTTCATAAACTTCCTGCCGTTGTTAGAGATGAATTTATTATTAGATTGGACACTAATTACCCTAGCTTAGATCATATTTTGGATAATTATGTAGAGATTAAGAGGAAACTGAATTTGCGCAAAGATGGGGCATGACCCACATGGGGCAAACGGACCACTACGGGTCACGGGTCCATAGCGGGTTTCTCGCTAAGTATGGCAGATATTGGTCCGTGTTCTCTACCGCCGGTCGACAGTTTCACTGTGATGAAGTGTACGGATTTACGTTTTGCTAAGAGTTTGCGTTGTTAAGTTATTTGTGAATAACTGTTTTAGCCCAGATAAAAGTTTTTTTGCTGCTAAATAAAACTGTTTTCGATTAGCTTTTAAAATAAAATGTTGACACGAAATAAATTGATATGATACCTAGTGGGGCAACGGGCTCATGCGTGTCACGGGGCAAAGCGCCCATGGTGAAGTCTTGTGTTATACATCATTAGATTTGTCTCAATGACCTTTTCAAAACTATGACTAGCTTTTTGAATTACAAATTACACTTCATATTGCATGATTTCTTGATTTGCCGCCTCAAGGCAGCAGGTTTAGTTTCTAGTTATGCGTATTAATGACCCCTTATCGAGTTATTGACTCATGCCTAGCCAAAAGTTGATTTCAGTCAACACCAATGAGCCAAAAGTTTATGAGTTTTTATGGTGTTGGCTGAAATCACGATTAGGTACGAATTCTCTGCACATAATATCTGGATTATGGACGGAACTGGAACGAAGTTTTTTCCTGATCAACTAAATATATTTTTTCTAGTCAGGATACATTTTTCATGTCAAGGCCGAATTTTTTATCGCAAGGGTGTATTTTTCAAGTCAAGGATATATATTTTTATGTCAATGGAATATTTTTCTTCACGTCAGTGATAGATTTTTTAAGCCAAGAGTATATTTTTTCAAGTTAAGGATATGATTTTTTAAGTTGTTAATAAATGAATGAATGTCATATTTTCTATTACATTTAAGTATGCAAATGTGGTAAAGGGACCTAGGGTGAGCGCCTTGCCCCAAGCCCATGGGCCCATTGCCCTAGGGGTGGGGCAATGGACCCATTTTGACACTAGAATAATTCCCGTATTGCAATATAAATAGCAAGTCTACAGACACTCAGCTCCAGTAACTTTGCGGCAGTTGTACGTGGTGGTTACCGCACCATCGCTCTCACCATCCTTGACAGATATCGAGCTCCAGTATCGTCTAGTCGCATTCCTTGCAGTCTTGAATGCCGATTTCGAGGTGTCCGGGACTGAGTCGGGCTCTACTGAACATTCACACTTATTGTCACTGGAATCCTATCTCCTCCTACACTTCTGAAGCCACAACAATGAGACATATACCATTTGATTCGCAAAGAAAAGATCTACAACTACAAAATTGTGGATGGGTTTTTCTAATTTCGTTGTAGTTTGGATGTTATTCTGCAAAAAATGGGGGTGTCGGGGAAAAATATAATATAATATAAAAAATATAATAGAAAAATTTCCGAAAATTTACGAAAAATGCCCCCACACCCACAAAAAGGAGAATTTCAAGAAACGCATACGCAATTTTTTAGATATGGTCTTTACGCATCGAATGATATGCGTCTCGATATTGTAGCTTGAAAATCCTAGGAGGAGATAGGATTTCTTAAGTACCCCCTTTTAGCCGTTTTCTAAGAATTTCACGTTTTCTTTCATTTTTTTAAATTCACACGAAAAAAGTCTTAGAATTCCGTTTTACATACGTGTACCAAATTTCGAATCGATCCGTATGTAAATAACCGAGAAAATATTTGCCCCAGACGCTCCCCTCAATAAACTGGGTGTTTCTCAGGATAGGACTAAAAAGGACTTGTGCAACAGTGACAGAGTAGAACTTCAAGGTTTAATTGGAATAGATGTATTACACTACAGTATATGAAAGACTTAAGTGTAGTTCCTTGATTGCGAGGAAGTGCATTTTCCTTGGCAGGTAAACTGATCCCTTTCGGAGATGTAGAGAATTTTTTTGACGCCAAATCAGATTGCTTCCCTAAGTAAAGTTGCTAGTACAGAAATGAATAATCCATTGTCTTCTTCATTGATTAATTTTGTTCTGGATCCCGTGTGCAGTTGCCGAGATCCCATTGCCAGTATCGCTAAAGAAAACGAGATTGAGGGCCGCTTGGATAATCTTTCGAAACTGGATTCTTTAGGAATTTCCGAGACTAATGAAATTGCTACCTCCGATGCTTCTCACTTAGATAAATTTGAAAAATCCTTGGTTTTAGAAGATGGTAAATATTTTGTCAAAGTATCCGTGGTGGCCTGATAAAATTAAAGACGTGAATTCAAACTTTGATGTTGCCAAGGCTGTACTTGGTTGGGTGATTGAGCGGCTCGACAAGACCGGCATGCGTGAGGCCTACGGTGATGTGTTCGCAAAGCAACTGGCTGATGGAGTTCTGGAAGAACTGCCGCTTGGTGAAATTGATGTGAATGATAACGTATGGACACCACACTGACCGGTTGTACGGGAAGAGGCTCAAGTCACAACTAAAATTAGATAACTATTAAATTGCAGTCATAAAATTGGTGATACACCTTCTTTGAATGAGGCAGCGTTTCCTGGCGTTGACTTGTTGAATAAACTTTTTAGATTGTTAATCAACATCAGATTAAACAATTACCTTGTTATGTCAGACATCAAATCGGCATTTCTGATGATTAAACTTAAAAATGTTACAAACAGGAACCGCTTCTCCATATTGTGGAGAGGTTCTAATAACCAACTTAAAGCTTACAGGTATACTTCTCTGGTTTTCGACTTATCGTGCTCACCATTTGTTCTTAATTTTGTCATTCAACATCATGTCAAGAAGTATCCCGATGACACCTGCGCTCGTGTCCTACGAGGAAACATGTACGTTGACAATCCATTTTTCACAGGTAACGATGACGAAAGTCTGTTACAGCTGTGCCAGCGGACGCTTTCCACGATGGCGGATGGTGGTTTTACCTTACGTAGTTGGGTGTCCAACAACGCTGCGCCCCGGAGAAAATTTGCCGATGACCAATGTGGACTACTGATCACGGGAGTACTAGTGAGAAGGTTCTGGGGTATCAGTATCATCCCGCGACAGACACCATGAGCGTTTTCAAAGTGAGTCCGTTCCCTAGGCAGAGTGTTGCAACCAAGAGGAAAGAAAGTCTTGTCTCTGTTGTCAAGGGTGTTTGATCCTTTAGGATTGGTGGCCCCGGCATTAGTATCTAGCAAGATATTTCTGAGAAAACTCTGGCTTGCAAAATGTGCGTGGGACGACCCTCTCTGTGAGGAGCATTGTCTCGAATGGAAGGCAGTGTCCTCAAATGTGCTTCAATTGAGTGATTTCTCTTTCCAGCGTAAAACCATTGACTCCGGCAGAGAAGTCTCTTTAATCCTGTGTTCAGATGCCTCAAAGACTTCCTATGGCTGTGAAGTTTACGCTGTTCAGCAATTTGATGACCATTGTTCGTCTAACCTGATTTTCGCTATGAACAAAATTGCTCCTATTAAATCTAAATTTGTTCCCCATTTAGATTTAATAACATAACATAGTGATGTCGGCTCTGAAGTGTAGGCCTGATGTGGCCTGTCGCCGATTCTTTTCCATTTCGTGCCTTGTTCATAGATCTAAACTACAAGAAATAACAACACTTCTTAGCGCGGAATTGAGAGTTATATTAGGTATAAAAATGGTTAGAAATATGGAGTAAGAAATGATATAAAGCGGCCGTAGGTTCATCGTCTACCTTAAAGTTGGTGTGGCTGAATTCCCTGCTCTTCAGCGCATATATAAGCGGGTTATATACGGCCAAGGAATGGCCGACGCTTGGCCTGCGATGTACCCTTTAGAACTTGGTATTATGGAGGTCTGCTTCGTTGAGCTGCCTGGACTAGCGTTAAGTTTTCTTGCCTTGCAGACTCAAAGGGAAACAATGATGCGGTGTGTTCTCTTTCACGCTCGCAAGGCCGTAACTTTCCTGTAATAATGCAATTACGGCGGGCAAAGTTGCGAGATTGTTAAAATTCATTTAATTGTTTAAACCTTTATTGTAATTACGCTTGTCGACAGTCACTTATTAGTAGGCGAAGTCGTCTGCCTACTGCTTTATCTTAGGAGTGATGAACTAGACTTACGACTGTGCGGATCAGATCCTGAAACCATTTGCTTTATTCGCGAAATATTTTTGTCTTTTTCTGATTTTGTGTTTGTGCGAATGTGTTTTCATTTTATTAAGTTACTAAATTGCATGTTTGCGCCCCTGTGTTCACTCGTCACAATTTGCTTATTGGCTATGAGCCTTCTTTGAACCCTTAGGGTTTGGCTCCGTGGAGCTTTTGAACTTAATTCTTCAGGCCCATTGTGGGATTTAACTTGCATGCTTGCATGCATTTAACTTAACTTCACCCTTATTACCTTAACTTGTGAGCGAACACTCCTTACCCTATTTTCACTTTTTTCACTTCCTATTGTTCTCAAACAAGAGAACTCATACTATGGTTGCCACCCGTGGTAACAAATAGGTATGTATCAATAAATTCATTCATGATTGTAATTGCTAAAACCGTTATTAGCTGCTATATTAGCTAGACTTTATTCGGTATATTGTACTAAGTCAACCGTTCATATTCACCAGATAAGAATCTCCGCACCTCAGCTTACCGATTGGACTTGAAAACCTGCTACTTGTTCTTTTTTCCATAACCGGATCTAAATAACGTTGTCCTTTAACGTCGCTTTCGCGGTAAGACTTGAGAGAGCATCAATCTCGCATTAGTGACTCATTCCAATTGCAAGCTAATATTGTTTTATATGCCCGACAATTATCGTTCCAATAGTGATGTCATTCTTATTCTACAGCTTTTGCAACCTTTGCCGTTATCATCTCACTAATGGAAGATGTTAACTACTTCGCCTGGACTTCTGAATAAAAGTTTCGTCGTTTTCATTGGTTGTTTTCTATACACTTGTACCTAAAACCAATAAGATCCTGTAATGTAACGGCGAGGCTGACGTTGAATCCAGCAAAGAATTTATGAGTGCATAATACTCGTAGAAAAAAGTTGTATACTGCAACGGAAAACCGAAACCATTAACAAAATCGTAACTTGAGGTTATGTCATATGACTGAAAATTTTTGCGTGTGCTATATCATCAAGTTCAGAACATCTACAATGTAGAAGTGCATCTTTAGCTCGGATAATGTATAAGAATATTATCTCATGTTACCAATCAAGGAAAATAATTTCGCTGCCTCACAATGACTTAATTGGCACTAAGCTTAGTAGATATCCATGTTGCAGATATCGTAGTAGATATCAAAGATGTAGATATCAATCTTGTGTGGGTTTGAAAACTAGTTTGTAATATGTAGAACTAGTTTGTAATATTTAGAACTCGTTTGTAAAATGTAGAACTAGTATTTAATATGTAGAACTAGTTTTTAACATGTAGAACTAGTTTGTAATATGTAAAACTAGTTTGTAATATGTAGAACAAGATTTTAATATTCAAAACTCGTTTGTAATATGTAGAACTAGTTTGTAATATTTAGAACGAGTTTGTAATATGTAGAACTAGTGTGCAATATGTAGAACTATAAAACTAGTTTGTAAAATGTAAAACTAGTTAGTAAAAACAGCAGAATAAATTTCATGTCAACCTCGCACATGAGCCTGGATATTAGGTATCGTAACACCGTTTGTAACAGAAAATGCTGCAACTTTCAAACAAGACTCTGGACGAACAACAAAATTCAGCCCCTCAATGTTGATATGGAAAATTTTGTAAGTTAGAATCACATTATTGCTGCTAAATATGTCCTTGAACGGAGTGCTTTAGAATATCCAGATTGGGGACTAACCATAATAAAGATAAAAACATAATTCAAGGTAAAAACATACGATCCATTCTATACAGTTGGAGCTTCAAAAAATCACTTCGCCAGGCTCCATTCAGAAGGCCACTCGTCTGAAGCTTCCATGCAAGACGCTCGTCTTTGATAAGAAACATTCTATTTATTTTTCCTGCCAACTATACGAGTCATTCAGAGCACCAGAGCTCCTGGATAACTATAGCCGTCTCTGATGTTGAGAAAAGGCTTATTACGTGCAGCAGTGAGGCCTTGACTGATGAAAATAGTGATGGGGCTTTTGACGCACTCCTGTTCGTGTTAGATTACGATAAATTGAAAACTATTTTAAATGTAGAATCTAGTGAAGCACCATGTACGTGTACTGGAGGAGCGCGAGAAAAAATTATGTCGATGCAAACACTGTAAGTGGAAAAAGAAGTACCAACCGTCAATCTTCAAGGTTAACGTGTTGAAGGTGTAAATCATTGGATTAGCTCAATTAATCAATCCAAGTATAACTTGCATTTAGCCTGCGGCATCCGATTTGAGATTTTTCAATCTTTATCCTTATGTTGAGAACCATAGACATTGTATATTATACGGCTTGTCCACAATTTTAAAGCCTGAATATGTCTTTAAATTTCCATGCTGACAAATTTTATACTTTTCAATCGTCACTTTGGCAAAGAAGCTTGACTTCTACTTTTCGGGGTTGTCAATATATAATGTAAAAGCACCTTTTCTCTTTTATTTATAATATTCTTATTAATACCAACGCACACTTGTAGAAACAGCCTACAAATGTCACATAAAACTCATCTCTTGATGCATCCATTTCCTGGAGGCAGAGATTCTTTGGCGGCGCTGCGCTGGTGTCTTGGAACAACGCGACGATCCGGAAATTTGATTACTTCAGCAGCGCCGCTTTTGAGCAGCAAGAAAAAGGTGAAATGACCTCACGGTGATGAAAAAATTTCCTTATTGTTACTTTGGAATCAAGGCGTCAAATCGGTGAATAAAAATTCTCATTGTTACTTTGGGTTCAAGCTAGCCGTCAAATGGCCAAACGACCGATGCAAACGTCCCACGAAAGCATCAGGTGGAGTTTTTTAGCGCCTGATCTTTTTAAGAACTTATGTCAACATTATTTTCGAGGCACCTGCTAAGAACCCAAATTTGGCCTCACCTGTAATGGAGTAGAAAGAATTTGATCAAACGACTAAATTTAACATTTCTTGTTGAGGTCGAGCATAAGTATGTCGTGTTTATGTTGAGCCGACGTCTAGACACATATTCGAATGCAAATAACATTCACAAACATTGTATATAAGGTTAAAAGGTTAAGTTGTTGGATTTTTTTTTTCTACAAGCAAAATCTTTTTATCCAAAAATTATTTTATGCAGAATTTTTAAATTAATCTAACGAAGAAAATTTGCTCGTAGAGTTCAGATTGCTAATATTTTCCACTGAAAACTGTTGAAGTTTGGATTAGAAAACTTCAAAAGGCAAACTTCAGCGATGACTTGCTTTCATTTTATATTACACCCGAGGCCTCAACAACAATGCCTCATGTATAACTTATTTTTTAAACAGTTTTACTATATATTATTTCAGCAGCTCGAAATTCGAGTAAAAAGTTCGGTAAATCAGGAGCATCGTGCGGACGTGTGCAGTCTTCCAGATGCCGAGCAGGCAATACAATATTAAGAATTCTCGAGGAACATTTTTGTCTTGATTGGTTGAGTGAAATATTTTTTTAGAGTGAGATGACAAATTAATGAAGACAGCTAGTTTTCCAAACGTAATTTTTAAATAACGCGAAGAACTAAAGCCTAAGCAAAGTTTATTAATAAAATTTCTTATACTTGAATTCATTAAGTTACAGCTTAATCAAATAAATGAGCAAAACAACGTTCGTTTGAGCTTTCAAAAATAACAACAAAACTTATTAATGTGAACATCGACTATAATGGTACATTAAACACGTGATAAAATTGCCTAAATTTGAGCATAATTTTTCTTCTCGGCATTTGACAGAAACGACACGTGTTTTTGGTACACGGAATCGAATAACAAATTCTATTATTATAATAATTGTTAAGCTGTGGCGCATTTTTGTGATACTCAAGCATGGAAATTTAAATTTTAATTTATTCCATTTTAATTTTATTTAAAGCCGCAAAATAAAGTGTATGGAGAATCTTACATCGTACATTCGAAGTTAGAATTATAAACTGTTTGTCACTCAATCTGAATTTCTCTCTAATCTTTTTTGAATTTTCAGATCAATAATGTTTCAAAATGTTGGTTCGGAAGTTAAAAAATTTTTTGTTCCACCCTCATCAGTATGTCATAAATATATTACATGTGTCAGTACGCACAGGCTCAAGTCTGAATAAATACATATTGTAATGGGTAACTTTTTTGCGCAAACTGAAAGGGAGTTTCTCATTATCTCTCAAGGGGAGCGACTTGGGTAAAATTTATCTCGGCTATTTACAAACGGATCACTCTGAAACTTGGTACACATTTGTAAAATAGAATTCTAAGACATTTTTGTTCGTGTGAATTTTTCGAAAAAATGAAAGAAAACGTGAAATTCTTAGAAAACGGCCAAAAAAGGGGGTACAGTAGAAATCTATCTCCTCCTAGGATTTTCGAGCTACAACATTGAGACACATATCATTCGATGCGAAAAGACCATATCTAAAACGCAACACGAGGGTTTTTAGGATTTTCACTCAATGTAGCAAGGATACAAAACTAAACGTTACTGGAGCTTGATTCCAGTCAAGGATGGTGGGAGCGACTGCATGCACACCTCCTCATACGACGCCAGGCGGGTAACTAAGGTGCACTTCAAGCAGACACTCTATTTAAAGTGCTCGCAGCGAATTTCCTCCCATTCTATTTGTTAAAGAACTACCCCACCCCTTTCATGATCTGTTGTGAACGCATAAATCAACGTACAAAGATGGTTTTGGTACCGTTGGATAGATCAGAATGTCAGCTTTAAGATGAGACTAAAAACCGGAAAAGCCGAAATCCAAAATTTTACCCTAGACGCTCCCCTTAATTGGTAAACCGTATTACTTTTCATCGCCCGCGGCATACATTGAATCAAACAGTCGTGCCTGATGAAGGATACAACAGTAATCAGTCCACCAAACCATTTGATAGCAAATGTTCCAGGCATCCCGATTTGAAGGAGGCGGGTAGAGAGGATTAGTTAATTTGATATTCCGTCAAAGAGCGGCTTAGCAATCTGGTGTAGTTAGACGGCAGAAAGCAGGAGTGCTGGTATAAGCTTTCGGTATCATCACGGAGTTTCCAAGATTTGCTCCAAGTTCATCACTGAAACTTGATCGGCAAACCGAGTTACTGTCGGGCGCATTAGAGTATATGCTTGGACTAGTTACCGAGATCATTAGCGCTAAAAACGGCCATAAATTTCAACGCAGAAATAAGTGGAGCTTGCAAAGTAATGCTACATTAAGTGAAAGTAATTATCGTCATAGAGTCTCTCCGTTTTTAGAATAGAGATCATAGGTCATGAAGTTTTGCTTAATTCGTTCAATGGAAGAAGCAAATTTCTTGAGGAGATGATACGCTTCGCCGAAGAACTTCAAGAAGCGTATTTTTTCAGCAGGAGGTACGATCAGCAAAAATTATTTCATCGCTTAACGGAAGACGTGAATTTAGATTTCTTTTTGCAATGGTAATAGTCAAAAGAATGAACGTTACCAAGAGTCACTAAGTAAGTGCAATAGATGGAAGTGTTGAAGTATTGTGATCAAATTGTAAAATTGTTCAATGAATTGTTTATGGACATTCTTGATGGTCCGAAAAATGTGTTCAATTCCGATGTCATAGGCTGTTTGGCTGAGACCAAAGTCTTGCTTACCTTATAGCAGCAAAGTATATTATAATGTATAAAGTAATTAACACCTGACAGAACTCTACTTAACTTAACTTAACACCTGAGCTAGTAACAATAAAGTAATCAGTATTAGTAGCTAGCAAAAGGGGTGTATCGTCACACTTTCCATAAACAGCTTAAATCATAGGTCACCACAACCATTTACCCCAAATC